AACTACCAGTGAACTATGTCATTGGGGAAGGTGCTTGATATCAAGTCAAGAGATTTCGTTAGTGGCACTTTTGTGAATAGAGACACGACATCAAGGCTTACCAGGATATCCTTACGTTGGAGAATAATATCCTTAATTTTCTGGAAGAAATGAGTCGAGTCCTTGACGTAAGAGGTAGTTTTTCCTACATGCGGTTGAAGAAGCGATGCAAGATGTTTCGCTAGGTTGTACGTTGGTGCTCCAGGTGCACTCGCTATGGGTCTCAGTGGGACCTCAGGTTTGTGAATTTTGGGTAGGTCGTAGAGTCATGGTGGAACCGCTTCCATTTTTATGATGTCTTTCTTAACCGTATCTGTTAGGGTAGATGACCTAACCAGTAACCTCTCTAAGAAGAAGCTAATGTCAATTGACAACCTGAATTTAGCGAAAGATATGATCATCCTACCTGCAGATAACGCAACTGTCCTGTTAAGAACTGAAGACTACAACAGGAAAATGCAGGAACTTCTTGATCCATCTTCCTACCAAGAGCTAAAGAAGGATCCCACCCAAGCCATACTCCGGAATACCAACAAACTTATTAGGTCATCTACCCCAACAGACATGGTCAAGAAAGGCATCATAAAAACGGAGTGAGCGCGACTGGAGCACCAGCGTACAACCTAGCGAAACATCTTGCATCGCTTCTTCAACCGCATGTAGGAAAAACTAGCTCTTACGTCAAGGAATTCACTCACTTCGTCCAGAAAATTAGGGATATTATTCTCCAACCTAAGGATATCCTGGTCAGCTTTGATGTCGTGTCTCTATTCACAAAAGTGCTATTGACGGAATCTTTTGACCTGATATCTAGTACCTTCCCCAATGACATAGTTGAGCTTTTCCGGACATGTCTCACTGGTAGTTATTTCCTGTGGAACGGCGATTTCTACGAGCAAATGGACGGTGTAGCTATGGGGAGCCAACTTCTTTATGGAGGATTTTGAAAATCTATCGAATTTTTTGACCACAAGCCAACGGTATGGCTTCGATATGTAGATGATAGCTTTGTGGTTTGGAGTCATAGAGAATAGAAGCTTAACTAGTTCCTAGACCACCTGAACGCGCATCCTGGCATACAATTTACCATGGAAAAGGAGAAAAACCAAGAAATCGCCTTCTTAGATGTACTCATAAAGAAATCTGGAGGAAAACTAAGGCACACAGTGTACCGAAAAACCACACATACAGACAGGTACCTGCATGCACTCTAAAACCACCATCCAAGGCAAAAACGTGGAAATATAACAACGTTAACAGAACGTGCTCGTAACATCTACGAGCCATAACATCTCGAGCAAGAACTGGATCACCTCAAGTGACCATGCGACCCAAAACGGACACACGACAAAACGTAGATGAACAACCAGTGGTGGCTAATGCTTGAAGAACCACAACTTAAATCCACTTTATTGCTTAAATCCACTTTATTGCTTTGCAGACGATGGCAATGTAGTCTCCTCACTCATACCACCTACAGGTCTTTCCGCACGTGAATTCCATCATCTTAGACTAACTCTAATATCGCAGATAAAAAACGACCTGGAGATAATAGAGGACTGGGGTAACAAAAACCTTGTACAGTTCAACGCGCAGAAAACCCAAGCAGCTCTGTTTTCAAAAAAGACCAGCACCGGTGAGCCAAACATCATGCTATCTGGAAGTGCTGTCACATTACAGAGTCAGTTGAACATCTTGGGGGTTACTGCAGAGACCAACATGTCTTGGCACAGTCACGTGGAAGATATTGCTAAAAGGGCGTCCCAAAAGCTGGGGGTGCTATTTCGTACAAGACATCTGTACACACCAAGCCAATTGCTGACACTCTACAAAGCCCAGATTCGACCAACTATGGAGTACTGCTCACATATATGGAGTGCAGCACCCAAACATACCTTAATGCTTTTGAACACCGTGCAGAAACGAGCTATCAAGCTGATCAATGACCCCGCACTTACTCGTAACTTGGATGGTCTCGAACATCGCAGATCTGTGGGCGATTTATCTCTCTTCTACAGGTACTATCACGGAAAATGCTCTGAAGAGTTGGCACGTATGATTCCACCGAGAGTTATATCAGAATTCATATCTCTGGAGAACAGCATCGCTGTGGAATAAACTCCCTGCGACGGTTTTCCCTGCAGGTTACAACCTGAACCGGTTCAAGACCAACATACACCGACATTTTCGCGCACTTGCCGCTTCTCGAGCGTGATAGGACATTTCCTTGCGAGTGCGCATATCCGTAAAAAAAAAAAAAAAAACATAAAAACAATCTCCAAGCCAACAAGGAAAGTACAGCAATCAATCAGATCAGCCAAGGATAAGAGGAACCCACTGTCAAGCGCTGGAGTCTATCGTATACCATGCACATGTGGTAAGGTATACATAGGAACAGCAAAAAGATCCATGGGAACCAGGATCAACGAGCACAAAAGAAACTGCAGAATAGGACAATCGGAAAAATCGGCAGTAGCGGAACATGCGCCTAGTGAAGGAAATTGCGAGATACTATTCGGTGAGATCAAGCTTCTTGCACCGACTTCTGGATACCACAATCGTACGGAGAACTTTAACAGGAAAGAACAAATACTAAAACTTAACCAAATTTGGAACCAGATCCTCAAAAACGCGAGAAAGATTTCATTGAGTACTGAGAAAGTTCAGATTAGCCACGTGATGCGAAGTCCCGCCCCTCCCCCACCACAACCACTCACACATAAATACAACTTGCGGTCAGGAACGCGTCGCGGAGTCAGTCTGCTACCAGAATCGGACATGGAAGCACCTTTGAAGAAGCTATCCACGCATGCTAGCGAAACATCAGGAAGAAATTCACCATATTAGTTAGGTTAGGAAAAATCGGGCGCGAAATTTAAAATGCGTTCCTAAACACATTTCAACAAATTTGACAGCAATGTATTTCTTATGGGGGATTCAAAAGAGTGATTTTCAGACGGGAATATCTTGGGTTCTGGGCATTTTTAGTATTTAAACCTATTATACGTCAAACTTTGGACATATTTCTCTATAATTTATGCTCTAATTGTTTTTTTAGACCTATGAATTAAAAATACAAATGATTTTAATTAAAAGTGTTTGTTTTCGGTGGACGTACGTCGGGTCTAACCAGCTGTAAGAAAGTGAGGTTGTGTGTTGTGTTATGATTATTGGTGAATTGTTTATTTATTTATTTATCACTAGTTCAGTCATTTGTTTTTCCATTTTTTTGGATTATTGAAGTACATCTACTAACCAAGTATGTATAGGTACCTACACTTTTATTTTATTATAATTATAGGTACCCATATATATACTTATGGATCAAGCAACGACATACGTATTTTATACAAACATCGGCTTCTTAAATTGGTAATATTTTTATTTTAACAATGTTTATTCAACTTTCAAACTAACATATTAAAAAAACTATTTATAAAACTCACTTCCCTAACAAACGTTCTATCACGTCTACAGACGCTTTTAAATTTGAGTCCCCATAAGACATCAAGGTATTAATTTTTGAACTAGGAACCCGCGCTAATTTGCGATTCTAACCTAACTAATATGGTGAATTATAACTTACGACGACCATTAAGCCCGAATGAAAACACTTTATCAATAAACCTTGGCCGTGAAAGCCTCATAAACTTTAACTTTAGTTCCGTTCACGAAAAGAAGGAAGCTGGATCTGCGAGCTCCCACTCTAAAGGTATTCAATTATTTCTCTCCGATGAAGTTAAGTATTTAGGGGTCATCCTGTACCGCAAACTTACTTGCAGAAAAACTATCTGTACAAAACAATATCATGAGCTACGGCGACCATTTGTCCATGCCGCAAAATCGTGGAAAAAACATGGGGATGGGAACCAAAAATGGTTCATTGGATTTACCAAACGGTTGTCAGACCCATTGTCACCTGACACCTACATCTCGTTGGTACGGTGACAAAGACTGAGCAAATTACCGCACAGAATAGTTTACGTTAAGTACAAAGGCTAACCTGTCCGCAGCCTTAAAAGCACTGCTGAACATGCATTCTCTTCACCTATATGTGAAAAAATAGGGAAGAATAGATGTTAATAGGCTAATCCAGTCACAAAGACTTGAACCTGGTGATCTGAATGGCCACTTACGCATCTTTCAAGGGAGTGTGACCCAAAAATGAAAGTTTTAGTGCAAAAAAAACTAAAAATAAATATTTAAACCGCACCTTGCTCCTAGGCTGTGACGACACACCGGCTTCGGAGGCACAGTTAAAATACGTGGTAAATTTCCCTAAACAAAAGTCAACGATCTCACTTAGAGCGCATTGCAACCAACCAAGTATAGGGCAGAGTTCACTGACGACTGAACAAACAGAAGGCTGCAATTTCGGCGGTTAGCCGGTGTGGCGTCACAAGTTCCCGCATAATTTATCTTCATGAGCGATTTTCTCGGCAAATATTTTGAATATAGGACTGCGGTTCTCACGAGATATCTTAGATCTTCTTTCTTGATTCAAGTAGCTTAAGTTGTTTTTTTTTTGGTCACACCCCCTTTAAGCGCGAGTGCCAAAGTAGACCAACAGACATACGATAACATCACTGGACTTTGATATTCCATACGCCAATCATGAAAAAACGCAAAGCTACCGCAAGCGGACAACGCATCATTGTGGTAAACAGATGGTTCGAAGCTAACGGAAGGAGACGGTCTGGAAATAACTGGACCAAACTTAAACTCTCCTTAGCAATGGGTGAAACGCCCACAATATTTCCAGCTGAATTACTGCCCATAAACATCTGTGCCCAAGAGTGCCTTAAAAAAGGCCTTTTAAGAGAGCACATTTACATACTGTCCGACAGTGACTCGAAACGCACTAAGAGCCATCAAGTGCAATTCTCAGCTAAGTTTAAATAATCGAGAAAATGGATTGTTAATGTAATGTAAGTAATTTGGTAGCTTAAATATTAAATTACCTCGTTAGCATCTGAAATATTCTTGCTCTTTGTCCAAATTTCCTTAGATGTCTTAAAACTCCAATTGCAGCATCTCGATGTGAATAGCATATTTTAAGAGAATCCCAATAATATTGTAGGCCTACCAGATGGTTACCTGAAAATTAAAAAAAAAAAAAAATAGAGATATGAGGTAGGTACCTACCAAAATACTTTTCTAAAAAAAATTAAAAGTAATAAAAAAATTGTTTTTATATTTGATTATCAATTTATCCGCACCTCTTTTAGATAACCATTCTCCATATTTTGAAACATAATATGGATCTTCCGGATTGAGTTCAACAACTTTTTTCAAAAGCTCCCAAACTCTTTTATCATTTGCGCCTTTCAATTTTGCTAGCTCCAAATAGGCTAAAGTGAAATTTGGTTCAAGCTCGATGCATTTTTTAAGCATCTGTTCAGATTCTTTGGTTTTGTTGTTTTTTCTGAAAATAAAACAAACAATTTATTAATAGATTTTTATAAATTGTTTATTACCTATAAAGTTGCCCCAAATTGAAGTGAGCGTTCACATGATTTGATGAATATTTAATTGCAGCCAAAAAATGTTTTTCGGCTTCATAATTATTTATCAAAATGGTTCCCAGATTATTGTGAGCACTGGCGTAAGAAGGCCATAATCTAAAAAAAGAAAAGTATAAAATGGTATTATATTTATAGTCTAGCTACTTACTTAAGCGCCATATAGTAATGCGATTTAGCTAGCTCAGTCAGCGAAGATTCGCGAAGAAAATTCGCATAGTTGTAATGCATTTTAGCATTTTGTGGCAATGCCTGAAGTCCAGCTCTGTAAAAAGATTCTTAGTAAAGTTTAGGAGGTTTTTCGATTACCCATATTCAAACACTAAATTACTTCCTACATTTCAAGTGGATAAATGTGTAAAGGACTGGTTCTACTCGATTAAGAAATACCACTTACAACATACCGTAATAAAGTTTCTCTAGACTTCCAATTTTTATTTCTGATTACTGTTCTAAGCGAGCTGGTAATTAAAATAAGGGTTATGAAGCAGAAAATCGTTTGCCTGTGTCTTGAACAATTTGTCCATAGAATCTGGATTCCATAGGCTACTAAAAGTATACATCCCAAACTGAAAATTAATAAAAACATGAGAAATGTTTTACATGAAAATATTTCTAATAAATTATGTAATAAATCGTCACTTTCCTAGTGGTGTTTTAGAGTAAATTTAATTTCAATTTTTTTAGATTCTATATATTTCAAACAATTACCTGGGTATATACAGAACTCTCTCTGCAATTACAAATCCTACGGTTATAAATACATTGGAGGCTGGTAAAAATGGCAGCACTAACAGTAGGAGACCTATGATCAATGGTGGGTGCCTTAGAGTCTAAAAAATAATAATATAATTCAAAGTACAATTCAAACAGCTTAACTGTTCTAGAATTAGTCATAGCACAATCCAATAAAGTATATAATATCTGCAAATGGAAACACAACATGCTTAAATACCGACAAGTTAAAGTCAACATACATGAAGCTAATGTCACTCGAGGATGTTCCCAAGGCGGCGTTCTATCGCCACTTCTATGGAACCCAGTGGTGGATAGCGTCGCAACTCACAGGGATACTGGTTTAACGGAAATATCCCACCCCACGGTCATAGCAGAAGTTACGCTGATAGCTGTACAACGCTGGTGCGAGGAAGCAAATCTCATGGTCAACGCCAGAAAGTCCGCGATAGTACCTGTCACTAGACAGAGGAACAGGGGTGGATATAACCTAAGCATCTTCGGGGAAAGGATTATAATAGTTGACGGAGTGAAACACCTAGGTACAATCCTGGACGCCAAGTTAACATGGAACTCACATCAGAGAGAAACCTTAACAAAGCAAAAATGTGTCTAGAAAAATCCAAAAGTCCGTTGGGAAAAACATTGGGTCTGAAACCAAGGATGATGCTATAACTATACGCCACGGTTATCAGGCCCATAGTTGTATACGGAGCTGCAATATGGTGGACAAAAGCCGAGAAATAACGACGGTCAAAAAACTGAACAGCCTTCAGAGGCTGGCATGTCTGTGCATCACCGGGGTTATGAGAAGCAGACCCACTGCAGTGTTGGAAGCAATTCTGAGGCTAGCTCTCCTCAATGTTTACATAGAAATGGCACCCATAGTTAACACCTACCAGATCAGGGCTGTCGGGGTATGGAAAGGAACACCAGGCAACTACGGACACATAAAGGTTATGGAAATGCAAACGGATCAAATGGTGGGTGGTCATAAGCGACCTAAGCATACGGCAGGAAGGAACGTCTCACATAAGAAGAGGCCTGGCCTGGTATACAGGCGCTGGCAAATATGGAGGTTGACTAGGATCAAAACAAAGCATCCCTCTGGGGCTTAACGCCACAGTTTACCAGGCAGACATTCATGCAATTCAAGCATGCGCACAGGAGATTCTAAGGCTGGGTTTTGACAACCAGAACATAGGCATTCTCTTAAACAGTCAGGCTGCTCCAAAAGCTCAGAGTTCACATCGATTTACTTCATAGAAAACGATGGAATGCCTACACGTCCTGGAAGCTCTGTCGTCAAGGAATAACAGGATAAAGTTCTTGTGGGTTCCTGGGCATTCGGGAATAGAAGGCAATGAAAAAGCTGATGAACTGGACAAGCGGGTGCACCCCACACAAGACCTGAACCTATATTTGGGATATCGGAGCAGGTTATAAAGACCGCAATTCCGTGAACCGGAATGGTCGACCCATCAACACCTCGACTTTTGGCGGTCCACACCTGGAGCAAGACACTCTAAGGGGATAATTGGAAACCCCTCAAAGATTCTAGCAGCTGAAGTACTGTCAGTAACGCGTACTCAGATAAGATGGCTGGTAGGACTACCAACAGGACGCTGCCATCTTAAAGCGCACATGCAGAAAATGAGAGTCAAGAATAACCCAACGATGAGTAGACTGTGTGGTGAAAAGGAGGAAACTGCCTTATACATAATATTCTACTGAGACTCCCTCATGAGAAACTTGCCAGCAAGCTGCTAGATCTCATCAAAGGGACGGATCTTGCTTGAGCAAGACAAATAGCACAATAGGCTTTAAGGCTGCAGTGCAAATCGGGACACGAGCACGCCTAGCCCTAACCAACCAAAGTATACAGGGTGTCCCACGGTGGATGGCGTATTAGACGTTTATGGAGAACTAAAAAGCGGATCATATTGAAAATTTGGCAACCGGGATAAACGACCATAATCTACACTTTAAAAATATTTTTGTTTATGTGGTGTTGCCGCTTCTACTCTTAATCAGTGGCAACATCGCTATTTTAAATGGAACACCCTGTATGTGATTGCATATTTGGATTCTACGTAAAATTCTGAACAGATTTCATGTGATATACCCTATACCTAAGTTCAACTATTTCGGAAATATTGACAGTTGAAAATTGAGTTTTTGCAACTTTGACAGGTTGTAAAACCTAAACGGTTAATTTTAGAGGAACACCGATTTAACATTCCGATCTTAAATTTTCATAAACTATCATTTGACACCAACTCTGAATTTAACCGGAGATTAAATTTAATTGGAATTTTTAATCATGGATTAAATTCAAAGTTGGTGTCAAATTATAGTTTATAAAAATCTAAGACAGGAATGTAAAATCGGTTTTCCTCTAAAATTAACCGTTCAGGTTTTACAGCCTGTCAAAGTTGCAAAAAGTCAATTTTGAACTGTCATTATTTCCAAAACAGTTGAACTTAGGTATAGGGTATATAACATGAAATCTGCTCAGAATTTTACGTAGAATCGAAATATGCAATCACATACAGGGTGTTCCATTTAAAATAGCGATGTTGCCACTAGTTTAGAGTAGAAGCGGCAACACCGCATAAACAAAAATATTTTTAAAGTGTAGATCACGGTCATTTATCCCGGTTGCCAAATTTTCAAAATGATCCGCTTTTTAGTTCTCCATAAACGTCTAATACGCCATCCACCGTGGGACACCCTGTATACCAATCCACTGGCGTTTTATATAAACATAAGATTCAAGCATTTTAGTGGCAGCTAAGTACTTACCTCAAAATCTACAATACTTCTCAAAGTTAATAAAAATAATAGCCCAAAGAAGAAGCATGTTATAAAGTTTCTGGAATCGCCAGCTGATAGCACTAGAGGTACTGAGCCCATCTGCCAGTCATGTGATAGAGTCGCTGGGCATAAGATGAGCCATAAGTTGAAGGCTGCTAAGTAGCAAAATGTTAAAAATCTGGAAAAAAAATATACAATGAAAATATTCCTGTTATTTTCAAGCATCATGGTAAAAAAATTTCAAGGCAGTTTTAATTTGAGCTTGCCTACCTTATCGATTTTATCAAATGAATATGGAATGCAGGAATTGTTTACCAGAAAAGCAGATATCTGCATTATTTTTTACACCGAGTGATGATGGTTATGTAAACTGTAGTCAAAGGAATTTCATATTTCCAATCATTTTTTTTTGTTGACAAACACAATGTATTCAAATTGAATTGAGTTTGTTAGATATGTGCATTTTGAAGGGGATTGTATAGAAAAACAATCTTTTATTCATTCATTCGACGATAAAATGAGTGTGAGATAAAACGACTTTTTATTTTTTTCAATGCCTCGTTATATTTTTGAATTATTATTTCATTTATTTTTTATTTCAAGGGTTCCAACTAAATTTGCAGTAAACCTCCTGGAGATAATTGTTTTTGGAACTCCTTGCGTAACGTTCATCTACATTTTAACCAAACCATCTTCATGAAGTTAAAGCTCAGAAACAATTCTACTTCTATTTCGTGAACATAGTCACTTTATGCACTTCTCCTAACCGGAATTTTCTTTTTCAGTCGACAATAGTGTTATTTTACATTAAAAGAAGGTGCTTTTAAGTTCGTTATGAGCTGAAATGCTAACTAGTTTTCAAAATCGTCAGTTTTCAATAAAACCATGCTAATTTCCTGCATCGTGTCGTTGCTATTATAAGTAAAATATTTGGCTTACCTGACATAAATTGAATTATGAAATGCCGCTGGGTTATCCTGCTCGCAAAATCTTGGCAAAGATCCCTGTAAAATTGCCAGCCTTAGAGCTAGTAAAACCCCAGTCTGAAATATGAAAATTAATTATGCATACTATATAACCAAAATACAAATGAACAAACTGCAATCTGATCAATAATGAAATAAGTTCTATGGGCAAGTGAAATGAGAGCCTTGCCAGAAGATTCACAAATAATTAAGAGAATGGTTAAGCTACATACAATTATTGATACAGAGACTTCCGGTCATATTTAATTACCAAACAATATTATACATACCGACATCAGTATTTTAGTCGCTCTAAAACTGAATTCCAAACTTTCCAGATTCCATCGTACTTCAGTAATTGTTCTGAAAAGTGAAGAAATATAGCACCAATACCATTTTGCTAGCATACCTAATAAAAAATAGGATCTATTCATTCTGTCGGTTGAACGTTATTTCATAATTTTAGGGTCTTCGCACATAAGAAGTGTAATATAGTGTTTGGCCCCTTTTCAATTTTTTCCACATGTTCTATCGCAAGATAGAAGCTATGATACACAATTTTTTGTTCATTTTTGCTTTCAAACAGTATGAATTAAAATAAATTTCACGAATTCGTCCGAAATCGGTATAAGTTGCGTCCTTACCTTCTGATATTTGGCCATTGTAAGTACAAATCGTATCCCAAATTCACCAAGAAAACAGTTATTCCAGTTTCTTTAGCTATCATGCTCATTACACCCATTATAACACTAGTCCAAACGTGATATCGGCCTTCTGACGAATGGCTGTAACAATAGGTATATGAAAATTTCTTTGCAGTAAAAGAAATATTGATGATAAACTCTTACCCGTGATACGCTAATATAGACATCAGAAAAAATACACATGCTAACACGTCTGCCCTGCCTACTATGCCAGTGACCTGCAACAAAATTTCCATATTTCAATTTGGCTCTCAATTCACTAATAGTACTTCTATGATTTGAATTTTCTGGCTTTTCTTATAAATCGCTGGGGCACAAAAAAATCACAGAAATAATTGGAATGAAGAATGGAGGCTTTCACGGCCAGTCAAATTAAGTAAAAAAGTTTTTTTTCGGGCTATAATGCCGTGGTCGAGTGATAGTAGACATCTTCAGAGACGGTGTGGTAAAAGACGAAGTGTTCTCTTCCGTGTTCCTCCGATGACTGGATTCAACGTTGTTGGACCTGCGTTATTTATATCCAGGGTTGTGGGCGTGGCTTGTATTACGCTATTTTCCTTGTCTCGTTCTCGGAAAGGAAACGTCTTTGTTTTTCGGAGAACTGGAAACCAGCTTCTGTCAAGTGCGGATTTAGCTTTTATTTATGGGGGGGGGGGGATACAAAGTGCCATAATGCGCCCAGTACCTGCTGTGGTCAGGGCCGGATGGGGAAATTTTTTCGGGCTGAGTTGGAGTTCTTATATCGACCCACTCAGTGGGAGATTCATAACATGTGCTTTCCTAATAGCGCCGCAGGTGAAAATTTTCAAGTTCGCGCGTTCTCCTGGCATTCTAGAATGTCCTTAAGAAATTCCATTTATGCAAAAATTGACTTTAACCAAGAAAATTTAATTCATCTCTCAAAATATTAATAATGTGAAGTGAGTGGTATACACCGAAGTCCAAAGTTGACCGGCCCACCGAGTACTACTTGGTAACTCGTCGGCCCAATCCAGGTCTGCCTGTGGTCGGTCCAGTGTTGCCAGGTCAAAAAAATTAAATTCACCAGAAATTGGAATAAAAAATCACCAGGAGTCTGAAAGCTGATCAGAGTTGTTTTGGTTCCCCCTTCCAACCCTCCAAACGAGTTTTTCTTTTATCGATTACCGTTTTCAAGATATAGGCCATTGACAGTTTTCGGTGGGACACCCGGTATATCCTATTCACAATCTGTAGACCAAACGTACAGGTAAATTTATCACCTTTCCCTATCAAATAGCATTGAGAGGTGATAAATTTTATCTGTACCTTTGGACTGAATAAATAATAATTATACTGTCGACCTTTATCCTATATTCTATATTCGCACCTATAATTACCTAATTAATACGTAGAACAAATACAGGATGTTTCCGCTGTCCGCTACAATAGCCTACGTTTTTATAAAACAAAATCGAACCGAATTTACACAGTTTTCTTTATTACGTTATAAAAAGTACTTTTCCTACAGCCGTGCGGAAAAATCGATTTTCCGCACTGATATGCGTGCGGAAAATGAGTTTTCCCGCACGGTGCGGTAAAACTTTTTTTTTTGACATATCAGTGCGGAAAAAGTTTTTCCGCACGGCTGTCAGTGCGGAAAAAATTTTACCGCACTGATATGTCAAAAAAAAAAAGAAAAATTTTAAATTTTTTCGCCTGTAGGAAAAATATTGTACCTAACACTTGCGGAAAATATTTTTCCGCACTCGGCTGCATCACCGAACTCCGCTACGCGTCGTTCGGTGAACGGCAGCCGCGTGCGGAAAAAATCATTTTCCGCACTTGTTAGGTAAATAGCTATTTTCTGCGATTGAAAAGAAATGTCAGCATTTTTGACTGGTTTACAGGTCACAAAACTCAATATTCTGGTATTTCAATTATGTTTCAATAGTTGCTAAGAAATCAATTTATAACAATACAGAAAACACTTTTCCGGCCTAGGCCAGGAGAGTGATTCTCGTACTGCTGAATATTTGGAACCAAAAGACAAACATTTAACAGGTATTTAACCGATCGCAGAAAAAATAGTATGTGTATTTCGGTGGAAAAGCACATTCTCGGCCTGTTTGCCGGCATCGGCTACGGCTACGCCTCGCCCGTCAACTTACACCGTCGGCCGAGAATGTGTCACTTTTCCACCTAAATACACAATATACTATTCTTTATCATGTAAAAAAAAAAATTATGTGTATTCAAATTATTTAATTATTCAATTTTCAGTAATCATGACAGGGGGTAATTACCCCCTGTACCACCCCCGTAAATCCGCCCTTGGCTTCTGTTAAGGTTCATGTTTTTTTTTTTCTTTTGAAGTTGTTGTGGTGTTTTTGTATCTCTATGGCTTCCCTGGTGTAAAAATTTTGCTCCTATCCAATGCTTGAGTCTGGTCGAACCGAATGACATGGTTTGTTTGTGTTAACACGTGTTCGGCGATTGCTGATCTATCTATTTATTTGTCCCTGCTGACAGTTTCTTTTATGCTCTTTGACTGACTTTGTCCCTGGTGTTGATAGAGCGTTTGGTTAATCTTACGTAGACAGAACCACAAGAGCAGGGAATTTTATAAACGCCAGCCGTTTCAAGAGGTGCCCTAGGATCCTTGACCGACCTTGTAGATTTCGGGGGAGTCGTTTCGGCTTTTCAGCCGCTCAGCACTGCTATCTTTGCAGATATTTTGTGCGTGACTCTACATCTTAATTTGTCTCCAGGAAGCGTAGACTTCTGCCGAAGGAAGCTATTTTCCTGGGTGTCAGTTGGCCCACTTCTTCTGGTGACAGTTTGACCGATCTTAGTCTTTGCTGAATTGTTTTTGTGGGCGTGTAGATGGGCTGTAGATGGGGTGTTTTTCTAGCGTTCTTCCTATGCGATCTGTGACATTTTTGATGTAGGGAAGAAAGGCTCTCCCTGCCACCTGTGCTGGTTCCTTATCATTTGTGTGCTGTTGCTTCGGTCTTATAGCTCTATTTATCTCCTGTATCCCTATTCCTAGTACCCATTTCCTTCAAGTGCTGATTTTAGATGTTGCATCTCGTCCTGAAGGTATCTAGGTTCATAAATCCAGATTGCCCTGTCAGAGTTTTAACGACTCCCCTCTTTTGCCTAGAATGGTGATTGGATTCCTTGTTGAGGTATCTGTCCGTATGTGGTTACCTGTTTTGAGAATCTTCGGAAGCCCATATATTCTAGGTGGTAAGGCTTTGATGGGTTTCCTTACGTTTTCCGGATCCAACGGCAGTTCTCAGATAAGTTGATTAGTTTTTCGCAATATAGAAGTATTATGCTTCAATTTTCTGTAGGTGGAGGGGTCTAGGTGTTCGGAAATTTTTGATTCATAGTCAGTCACGTTCAGGATTACCGTTGCGTTTCCTTTATCCGCAGGCAGGACTAGTATGTTCTTGTCTGCATTCAGGCTGGGAATAGCTTTCTGTTCCTCGTATGTCAGATTGCACTTTGGAGGTTTCTCTAGTCGTAGAATCCTAGATGCTTCATTGCGTATTTCCTCCGTTGTGGTTTGAGGTAATGTGCGGATGCTGGAGGTAACCCACTCAGACCTATTGTAAGTGCAATAGATTCGCCCACATACAGCATAGCCAAATACCTCACGACTTTCCTTCGGCCACGGATTGGCTAATCCAGCTCTTATGTTAAAGACTCCACTCATTTTATCGAAAAGATCAGTGACATCACTCTACTACCAAACGACATTTTGGTTAGTTTTGATGTTGTCTCGTTGTTTACCAAGGTACCAGTGAATCAGGCCTTGGACTATCTGAAAGATGTTTTTTTCTGAGGAAATCAACAACTTATTTCACCACTGTCTGACGACTACGTACTTCCAATGGCAAAACGAATTCTTTGAGCATACAGATGGAGTCGCAATGGGGAGTCTACTCAGCCCGGTTATCGCCAACTTCTACATGAAACACTTTGAACAAATGGCACTGCGAACGGCCAGAAAGAAACCTACTTATTGGTTTCGCTATGTAGATGAAACTTTTGTTGTTTGGAACCATGGACACGCAGAGCTCGGAAACTTCCTTAATCACCTAAACTCAATAGAACCCAGGATACAGTTTACAATGGGAGCTGAGAAGGACAACAAAATTGCATTCCTCGACGTCCTCTTAGAAAGATTACCCTTAGGAAAACTGGACACAGAGTATATAGGAAGCCAACGTACACAAAACGGATACCTCAACAAGGAATCCAATCACCATCCTAGGCAACAGAGGGAAATCATTGAAACTCTATCTGACAGGGCAATCCGGATTTGTGAATCCAGATACCTGCAGGACGAGATGTAACACCTAAAATCAGCACTTGAAGGAAATGGGTACTAAAAGCAGGATATAAATAGAGCTATAAGACCGAAGCAACAGCGCACAAATGATAAGGAACCAGCACAGGTGGCAGGGATTGTTAAAGAAAATAATAATATTGATATATGTTAAAGTTAGGCCCTCTGTGGAGGATAAAAAGAATTTTTTCTACTTGCGTGCGCAAAGTAAGCACTTTGCGCACTCATTTGCGTGCGCAAAGTTGAACTTTGCGCACGGAAACTCTTTGCGCACTCATTTTTGTTACGCATAATTACCATAGTTATACTTGATTTTTCAATGTTTTGATGGTTTCTGAATAAACTAATATTCATAATGAAGGGTTTTAGTTGATATTAGCGCTTAGTTGACATGATGTTTCCTATCAAAGGTGTCCAAATTGGACCAGCCTCTACTGCTAGGAATTTGTACAATTTTTGATATTTGAGAGACTCTCATAAAAATATTCTAGCTGGTATTCTAGAAATTCCAGAAGATGTTAAAAGATTTTTTGGGATTTTAATTTAAGACATTCTAAGGAATTCCAATAGATTTTAAACGATTTTTGAAGATTTTGATTTGATTGATTTTTCTAATATTGTAATAATTCAAAGTCTACTTTTTTAAGATATTCGTAGAAAAAATATTGTTCCTAACACTTGCGCAAAGTGTCTTTCCCGCACTCAAAGCTTATCCGAACTCCGCTTCGCGTCGTTCGTCTAACTGCTTTTTCGTGCGGGAAAGTATCACTTTGCGCACTTGTTAGGAAAATAACTATATCTTTATTTTGATGGATACTGTTTTGTTATGTCCAAATGTATAAGAAATATTGTTAGATGGCGGTGTAGAATGTAGGCGTTTTCAAAAGGTACGACCTGACA